ATACTGGATAAAATGTAAAATCAAAAGGAGGAAAGAAACAAAAAAGAAAAAAGTGCAGGTAGGAAAAATATAAAGTGAACTGTATGGTGGTAAATTCAAATCCAGCTATATCAATAATTACTTTAAATGTAAACAGTCTTTTTTTTTATTTCAGGATATTATGGGGGAACAAACATTTTGGTTACGTGTTATGACTTTGCCACATCCAAACCATGATTTGGGGCGTGCCCTTTCCCCCCTACAACACTCACCACATACATTAGTTGTGAGTTTACCCATCCCAACCTCCCAACCCCCAAAGAATATTACTATTGTGTGAGCCCCTTAGTGTTGATCAGTCAGTGCCAGTTTGATGGCGAGTACATGTGGTACCTATTCTTCCATTCTTGTGATACCTCACTTCAGAGGATGGGCTCAAACTCTATCCAGGAAAATAAAAGAGGTGCTAGATCACCATCATTTTTAAAAAATGAAACAGTCTAAGCACTCCAGTTTAAAGTCAAGGTTTGTCAGATTGGATTCTTTTTTAAAAAAGACCTCGATGGATGGACTCTCACTTTAAATATATATGTATAAATATATAACATATAATGTTATTATATATATATGAATACATATGTGTGTATATATATTTCAGAATAAACACTTAATACACATACGTATCTGTGTCTGTGTGTGTGGAAAGTAAAGGATAGAAAAATATCTATCATGTAAATACTACTTAAAAACTTGAGTGTCTAATAGTAGACAAACTAGACTTCAAAACGAGGAACATAAGCAGGGATAAAGAGAAACATTTCATAAAGGGATCAATTCATCAAGATTATATAAAGACTCCAAACATGTATGCATTGAATGGCAGAGGTACAAAACATTTTTAAAATTGGAAAGGAAAAATAGAAAAAGCTATAATTTTAGTTGGGTATTTCAGCACTCCTCTCTCAAAAATTTAGGGATCTTATAGAAAAAATAATAACAGCATTAGAGAAATTCCAGGGAAAATCAATAGGATGTAAAATTACTGAACAACACTCACAATCAATTTGACCTATTTGATATTTTAGAACATTCCACTCAAGGATAGCAGAATAAACTTTCTTTTAAAGAACACACAGAACATTCAGAAAGATGAATCATATTTTGGGTCACAAAAAGTTTAAATAAACTTTAAAAGATTGAAATCATATAAAACATTCTTTATAACCAAATTAAACTCAAAATCACCATTAAAATAAGCACCATTTCTCTCTCATATTCATGTCCTCAGCATCTACTACACAATGCATGTTTGAATTAATAAATAACAGGATAAAGGTTGTGCTACTTCTCAGAGGTAGGAAATTCCACTTTCACTGAATCTTAAGACTGTTATCTTTACCACTGACAGATCTACTAGCTACATCAAAAACCTAGTTACGGTTTCTCTATAGTTCCCTAATTAGTTGCATGTCTGGATGAATTATTAATAATATTTAAATTTTTCAATCAGAGCTCATTTTCTTTCTAATATATGATTTGTTTTCCATCGTTTTCCAAATCTAATAAAATATGTCTCTCTACCCTGAGAAAGAAGGATATTCACGTGCAGCAACTTTGTTATTTTGTTGTGCAGCTTACTTCACCTTCATCAAGATTCTTTTGGAACAAACAGAGGTTAAATTCATTTTCTCCTTGCTCTCACTATGTCCCTCTAGGTGTAGATTCAAGTCTATTAAAACAGATCTTCTGTTTTGTCTCTCTTGTGCTGCGATTCAAAATGTGCCAGCTATTAATTTCAAAAGCACAAGGAAAACACATGAGACTCTGTGCCTCTCCTTCCCCCCACCTCTCTCCCGCAGAATTCTTATAAGTGAGCTTGCTTTGCACAGTACAGGCCAAGCCCAAGCGTCTTACTTACAGATGAATACTTCATTATGGAAAGATTCAAGTTTCCCCAAATTACAATAGGGCGGGATATAATTTAGAGGGAAAATCCTTTTAGTTATTTTAATGGAAGGGAGTGCCAAGTGGATGTCAAAAAAAAAAAAAAAAAAAGCCGGATGCTCACTAACAGACAACAAATACAAGATGTAAATAGGCAGAGATGAAAGGATTAGTTACTAAGACCTGAAATATCAGATTTAAGTAGTTTTTATTGATTCTCTCTCGAAGACAAAACATCTATTCCCTTTTATTGCCCTAGAAAATGAAGTGGTCTTTTGTATCGGTCTTTATCTTCCATATGTGACATTTTTTAAAATACTTCAACATTAATTCAGTAATCATGCATCCCTTATTCTATGCTAGACATCCTCCCAGAATAATCACACATACATAAAAGCCAGGTTTTCTGCCAAGACCTTGATGTAGGTCTTGGCTTTGACCTAAATCAAGCTCATCGTTACTTTATTATAAATAAGAAAAATATAGTAATAACACACCCATTTCTGAAAAAGTGAGCAAAAGTAGAAAAAGCACAAATAGTAAATAAGAAATAGTTTTTTAAAAGCAATTTTGCAATAAAATAACTATGAAGTCATAGGAATGCTTTGTATTAAAGTAATAACAGCAGTAGGAAAAGTAACAGTTATCATGGAAATAGGAGTAATGGTAGAAATGGTAGAGGTCAAAAGCACGTACACATCTTAACCAATTACAAGGTAACAGACCCCGTGACAAAGGTGTTATGTAAATCAGCACATTTGAGTTTCATAATAACACCATCAGGTGGATACTATTATCCCCATTTTACAGATGAGGACACTAAGTGTAAGAGAGGTTTAAGCAGTTTCCCCTGGCTCCACAGCTAGCTACCAAACTGGGACTGGGAACCTGAGTCTGATATTCCAAAATCCTTTCTAAATGGGATTCAGAGACAGACAGAATTGCATTAAACTTAGTCTTTATAATTCCCTACTGAGTAAACTTTGAAGTAACTTCAGGGCATAGCAATGTTTTTCTATAAAGAGTCAGATAATAAATACTTTAGGCTTTGTGGACCATATGGCCTTTGTTACAAGCAGTAAATCCTGCCATTGTAGAGTGAAAGCAGCCATAGACAATAAGCACAATTGTATTTCTCAAAACAGGCTGACCCTTGACTTACATCATCACTGTCAACTTCAGATATTTTTATCTGTAAAGTGAAGTGGAGTCTACATTTTGGGGGTTGTTGCAATTATTTTAAATAAAAGCATGCAAAGAATATAGTATAACAAAAAATCAGGTGTTTATACACGGTAGTTGTTATTTTTAATTGCTTGTTTTATTAGTCAGTTATTTTCTTCCTTTCAAGCCATAAAATGAAAAAGATCCATATATTTCTGCCCTTCAATAAATGTTTACCTAAAAACAGACAATGTAAAAATCCTTTTTAAGTATAAAGCTGAATGGGTATATTTGTGTTTGTGTCTGTACATGTGTGTAAAATGTGCTGCTATGGAGGGATAAATTAATTTATTCTAATTGTTAGAAAACTTGCCATGCATAGAATCTGCTAGGTGCTGAAAATGCAAAGATAAGTGCAGACTCTAATCTTTCTTTCACCTTCTGCTGCACATGGTATGCATTAGTGGTCTTCATTTTAGGTTTTTGCCTATAGCTTTTGAAATAGTGATTCGGGATTATTAAGACCTAGAAGAATGGAAGTTCAAAAATCTTGGACTTTTTCTGGGTACACTAATTCATGGGAATCAGAATCATCTATTTTTTAATATAAGAAAATGCACACAGCGTGTGTGTGTGTGTTGTGTGTGTACACATGTATCTGAGGGTATTTGGTGCAGAATGAACACTTAGTACCATATATTTCATCTCATTGCCCATTGATAGTAGTGTATCCCATAGGCCAGGCAATCAGATGTTCAAGCACAGCATTACAAACTCTGAGGAAGTGAAAAAAATATGTAGGGGCATTTGAGAAAATATTAATGGGAGCAGCATTCAGATTGAGATTGCAGTCGCTGAAGAGATTTTGGATATGGGAGGTGATGGCAGCATAGTTTTGAATATCTTTGAATCTCAAAATAAAAACCAAAGAGGATAACTAAATTAGCAAAAATTTAAAACCTACAGACAACCTACACCAAAAAAATTAGATGTCAAGGCATCCCCTGAACTCCAGAGTACAAGTGGTGGAGACAAATTACCAATAGCCATTTGATGTGTATGGCAGCCACCTCTGTGCATGAGAAAGCACAGGACCCCAACAGGACATCTAATGGAACTGAGAAGGGTGGAATCTCAAAAATAGGCAATCGCAGTATTCCCTAGAAAGCACAGAGGACTAATTTAATAACAGAAGCTAAAACTGGAAGGGTTTTGTCCAGTTTAATACTGGATTAATACAAACTTTCTGCAGTAAAGACTGAATAAACTGGAATAGTCTACACCCTGTGAACAATTTAAACTACCCATTAGGATTCCCTTCCAGGTAAGAGTTATAGTTAGGAGAAACTGCTGGGAGTGGATTCAAATTTGAGCAGAAATCTAACAAAAAGAAGTCCAAATAAAAGTTGGGGAAAGGAACAGAAAAAAAATGTCTTAGAAAGCAAGACACCATGCATTTTTGAACACTTTAGAAGAGAAATCTTTATGAAGTTGTAGTAGCTACTCTAAACGACACCTCCTAGAAATTCAAGAAAAGTGATTATGTATGAAATAAGCAATAGAAACATACTAAAGTTAAATCTTATAAAAATTGTCATAAGAAAGAAATAATCATGAACAGAATAACATATTTACAGTAACAAAAGCACACCAGAAAGACTAGCTCAAAGCATAGATCAAACAGTAACCTTTACATATTGAAAAGAACTAACAGACATTAAGAAATAGATATAAGGCATAAACAACAATTCAGAATTAGAAAAACTCAAAGAGCAGATGACAGAACTCATGAAGTATGTATGTGTGTGTGTGTGTATCACGTTTTCAATTATTTCAGACTTTAGGATGTAACGGCCGGCCTCCAAGATGGACCCTACTGACCCTTGTCTCCTAATGTTTGTATCTTTCTATAGTACTATTCTACACACCGATACAGAACTAATCAAGAGTACTATGGAAGAGAGGGACTGTTGCAGCCTAGACTTTGAAGATCAAGCCATAAAAAGTACTGTATCCTCCATTTGCCATTTATTATCTTTTGCTTTGGGAAAAACTGTCTTCCATGTGTTGAGCTCATTCATTCAGCCCCATGGAAAGGCCAACATGGAGAGGGACTTCTACCAGTAGCCAGCACCAACTTTGCAGCCATATGTGTTTGCCACCTTGAAAGTGCATCTCTCAGCCTTCAGTCAAGTCTCTAGATGACTGCAACCTCACAAGAGCCTCTAAGTCACAACTGCTCAGCCAAGCCATACCTGAAATTGTTCACTCAGAATAATGGTGAGAGATGATGTTTATTGTTGGTTTTTTAAGTCATTATGTTTTGTGACAACTTGTTATGCAGCAACAGAAAATTAATACAAAGGCTAAATTATAAAAAAACATAAGAGGGATAAACAAAATGGTTGTGCCATAGAAGATATAGAAGTTGCAAAGGTAGGAAAATTGAAAAATCAACAAGAAATAGAGATAAAAAGTTTCCAGAAAGTAACAAATATACATGGTAGACAGAAAAGATCCAATTTATAGATTATAGGAGTCTCTGGAAAAACATTAAAATAACATAACAGAGCAAATATTAAATTATAATTAAAGAAAAATCTATTACATTAAAAAAGACTTGAGACTACGTATCAAACTTGACATTATATAACCTAGAATTGTCAACATCAAAATATATAATAATATAGCAAAATCATTGACCTTTAAAGAAAAAGAAGATATTTTAAGCAAAGCAAGATATTTAGGCAAAAAGATAACTTATAAGGGAAGGAAATTATATAGAAATGTTATACGCCTGAAGAAAATGGAGTAACATATTTTATATATCAAGAGAGATTAAGGATAGAAAATACGAGCCAAATATTTTATATCCAGCTAAATTGACTTTTCAGTGTAAAAGCATAAACTATTAACAACATGCAGTGATTTTGGGATGTTTATTCCCATGAGTCTTTCCTGAAGAACTGATTAGAAAAATGCTTCACTCAACCAAAATGGAAAGAGACTCACCAATCTGAGAAGTTGTAAGCATTAAACCTAGCTACTTGCAAATTAAAATGAAACAAAAATTAAAAAGAAGAGAGTATAGGAAGCCATGGCTACATACTCAGTTAATGTAGATGTAGTACAATTATTTATTTAAATGGGAGTTAGAGAATGGAGGGAACATATGCAAAGATATTTAACTATTCTCAGTACTTATAATAGTAATGGTAGTATTGTTACTCTGGACTGTATGTATGCAATTTGGGTAAGTTAATGACAATTCTTTGATAGTTCAATGTCATCATCCCTTGTGTCCTTTTGAAGCAGGATTTTCATTGCAGAAGTAAAAAGATAGAATATAGATGTGACATATGAAGGATTAAATTAAACAAGTACAACAACAACCTGCTGAACTGTACTGTTGAGTATGTTATTAACAAAATCCAGACTTTATGAAATGTTACAGGTCAAAAGCATGTGCCTCCTCAACACATAAATTTTAAGGACAAGAAAGGGGTGAAGAGGGAAACCATAAATTAAAAGAGATGTAACAGACATACATATTTTAAACTGGGAAAAAATGAATGGCAATGTCTGGAGATGCACATTTGAATGAAAAAACTATAAAGAAATGCAAGAAAGGCCTTAAGATAAAATTGAAGTATAAGAGAGGCGAGTGGATTGAGAACCAGAGGGCCAGAGAAACATTGGCGGGTGTCTGGGGGCGGTTGCCAGGTACGTGCAAAGGTGTTTGCTTTATTATATCTCATTATGCTATTTGTTTCGTGTCTGTGTTTTAATATACAATGAAATGGTTTTTAAAAGATTTTTAAAAGAAGTAAACAAGAATTTGGTGGCCACAGTATTGGGAATTTCCCAGTTAATGAGAATGTTCAATGCTCTATCTCCTTGCCTGTCCTTGCCAAGCCTGGTTTTTCAGATTTTATGTTGTTTCTTTGAGCTGCCTGATTTCTTTCCAGTCTAAATATATTTTGAAGACCTCCAAAATTTTCCACTTTCTGGATTTTGTCTATTGCATAGTATATTATACTTCAACATGTTTTCCTGCCCTTGTGCGTGCATATATATATATATGTGTGTGTTTATGTATATATATATATATATACACATATATATGTATGTATGTATATATATAGATGTGTATGTGTATACAATGGGAATAATTTTCTGTTGATTTTGATTGACATAGCAGGGAAACGTTGGGCAAGTCATTTAATCTTCATCAGTCTTGCTTTCCTTCTCTGGATAGTTGGCTAATAAGACTTTGCTCATAGGATTTTTGCCAGGATAAAATTAAGTAATTAAGTAAATTATGTAGTACGATGCATGACAATCAGTTCTCAATAACTATTGTTAGCATTTCTGCTTTTTATTGCTGACTTGTGAAAGAAGGAACAAAAGATGATGTGCAGTTCTTTAAGCCTAGGTGATTGGGAAATTGATGAAGCTGTTGATAGCAACAGAGCACCCACAAAGAGAGTCAGTTTGTAAAAAAATTGAATTCAATTTTGCTCCCATAAAATCCACATTTTGACAACTATTTAATTGTTGATTATCCTTAGAAAATTATAACCTTAAATAGAGTGCAGGAGATAGTTCTTCTTCTGAGGTACCTATGTGTTAGTGTTAAGATGTTGAACATTTCCAATACAAATACTCAAGTTCAGTCTAGTCTCCCTTGTCACTGCAACAAGGGGAATTAATTAAAATGCTTTCTGTGGGCTTGTTATCCCACCAATTAACCACAAAACTGATTTGGGTATTTGATATCCCATAATTAGTCAAACGTTACAGTAGAGGAGTGGACTGGATAACAGAGAAACTCAGCTAATGAGCATTCTTTGCCAATTGGACCAGAGACAGTGACAATACAAATGAAGAAGCAATAATTATTAGCCAATCAGAACATTCTGCCTCTATCACTTATTGGCACCTCACCATGCATGACTCTGTCAATGTGCTATCTGCCTATTTTTTATGCCTGACCATCTCTCTATCTTCTTTTTAACACCTTTAGTATTGTCATTGTCATCTCCAGCTGTTGCCTTCTGGAAGGGAGGGATTGTGCATGGGTTAACTATCCCTTACTAATAAATTGAACCCACTCCTGGCCACTTAAATTTTGAAAATCATGTGTTACTACCCAGCCTCTTCCATGGCTTGCATTATCAATATAACAAATCACTGCTGAAAATCATGCAATACCTTGCATTCTAACATAGATCATGAGTACAGAATGGCATTTATGAAACAGTGATTTGCCCACCTGCTTTTTATCATTAATAACATATCTAGGCCTATTCCCATGTTTGGATCACTCTGAATTTCACCACATCTTCTTTTTGTTCATTTCTTTGCATTTTAAAATATATGGTCATTTCTCCTGTCATCTTACTGTCTCCTAAACATTAGCTTTATATATTATTTATCTCTATGGTTTCTCAGCCCTACCTCTCCCTTTCTCTCATCTAGTCAGCATATATAATGTTCAAAAGATGTTTACCTAAATGTATTTTTCCCTGTGCTACCACATTTTTCCCTTTTAACCTATCATTATCTCCCTGTTAGAAATAAGGAAAAGGGGAAGTCCGTGATCAGTGACTTGATTAGTGGTCTTACGGAGGAAAGTAAGGAACAAAAAGCTGGTCTAGAATATAAGGCTCCAAATCAGATTTCAGTGCTATTCACATAACATCAGTCCACATGAATTGCCCAAAGTACATAGCTAGTTTGTAATGTGTCTTTCATTGTTGAAAAAAGTCTAGATAAACACAGTTTTATGATTCTATTCTCTCCTGGAGATACAAGCTTTCCTTCCTCTGTTTGAGATAAATGGATATCCTGGGGAACTGGAATCAAGCAGAGAACGGAGTTGTTGAATCTAAGAGAGGAGCACAGTGATGTTCATTTTACTGTTCTTCAAAATTTTTGAGGCTTTGATATTTAAAAGAAGTGCCAATTATACATTAATATGATTTATAGTTTCAGACTAATTTTAATCTATGTCCTATGGGGCATATAATTAAGACAAAAATAACAAGTAGATTTTACAAGGATGGTATATTTAACAAATGTTTAGGGAAATTAGTGCATTTCGGGAACAAAAATTAAATTAGACAATTGTGTTCCACCTTACAGAAAAACTAATCCTAGAAAATTTTAATGTAAACTTACTCGTAAGTTACAGATTTTTTATAAAGATAAATGGCATGGTGATTTTTCTAAGTATAAATTTATGAAAGAAATTTAAAAATTGACACATTTCACTTCATAAAAGTTAAAAATCATGTATGTCAAAAAAGTATTTTATGTCAATATCACATACCTTTGAAGTATTTTCATCTTTGCAAACTAGGAATAGAAATCTTGACTCCCAAATTAAAGTATAGTCCACTGAAGAGCACAAGTTTAACAAGGGTTCTACTGCTTTGTATGCTGTTCATCAGTATTTCACCAAATTGGATCTTCACACACCAACTGCCCAAAGAGTCACTCATGAGCCTATGTTAAATGTGGATATCTGGGACCCACGCCAGACCTACCAGATTATATCTCAACAAAGGTCCTGGAGGTTGTATTTTTGTCAAACAACCTAAGTGATTTTATGAATACCAAGCTATCTAGGACAGTAATGAGGACAGATTGGATATTAATAAATTATAATTGGGTTAATTAAAGTAAAGCTGTAAATCAAGTAAGGCACTCTCTCAGCAATTTTAATGGTTCTCCCTGGAATGAAGAAAAGCCTATACACTTTTTGGCATGACATTCAAGATCCTGCATCAACAGTTCTCCACTCACTGAAATCTTATGTCTCTGCCTGTGCCCTGCACACCACTTCCCTCTGCTCACTCCCAGCTAAGCGTTTTACCCCTAAGTCATTCTAACTATTCATAAGTATGTTGGAAACATATTTTTCCTTTTGTGTAATTTCTCTTATTTTTACTTCCCTTTGCAATGTCTTTCTTCAACAACACCACTCACCCTTCACCACAGTGACTGTCTGAAGCTCACCTGAAGTTTAGAACCCTAAATCTCAATTCATTCTCAGATCCTAATCTATGCTCTATTAGCACTTTGTAACTTTACTCAAGCATCACAGTCTGACTTACAAGAGTCACTTGTATGTCATGTGTCTATACGAATATATATCAACAGTTGACCCTGAACAACATGGGTTTGAACTATATGGGTGCACTTATACACAGATTTTCTTCCTCCTCTGCCACCTTGACACAGCAAAATCAACCCATCCTCTTTTCCTCCTTCTT